GAGGCTTGGTCTTCCGTGTCGTGTGCAACCAGGGCCATTGGAAGAATTACTAGGATACATTCCTATCCTAACTCAGGGTCATAAGTATGGAACAGATCAACCTCAAATAATCTCCAAAGCCTCAAACTTCTTCTATCTTTCCTGGGTATCTGACTTTTGGAATACCTTTCTTTGAGCCCCCAGTGAATTCAGGATAAAGTTAAAGTTCTTAATAAAGCATACAAGACCCTTAAATTAGTGTCTTATTATATGTGTATTCAGCCTCACCTGCTACTGTGAGAGACCAGAATATACCACATCCAAATACGGGAAGATTTTTGAGCTGAAGGCAATTAAGAAGAAGTAGATGGAGGAAAGCTCTCTGCCCTCTCTCTATTTGCCTAAAAGCAGGACATAGATTTACAAAGACAAAAGGTATCCATACCAGGGAGACCAGAGGCTAACCACTGCTGATGACTTTAGACCCTCATGGGCCTAGAAATGGCCCAGGAGAAATCTGCATCAACAAACTTTGCTAATAGCCTTTGTCAGCCATGTATTTGCCTTCCCCCAAGTTGCAATCCCTAAAGACTCAAAGTCCTTTTTCTCTGTCTTTCACTTTTCTAAAAATGCACTGTGCTTTGTTGAAGATGCTATATAACTGGAATTCAAAGCCACTTCTTGGAGAATTACTCATGCCCTGGGTATCTCCCACATACGTATGAAAAATGCATGCCAATAAACTTCTGTTTATTTTTTCCCCTTGTTAATCTGTCTTCGGTTACAGGGATTCCTTCTAACCTTAGTTGGAATTATGACAGTTAAAGAAAAAATTGTTTTTCTTCCCCTGTAGCTGTCAAGTATACACACACACACACACACCTTTTTGTCCATTGACATAGACACACTTGCCATTCTCATAAAGTGCCAGGATCCCTCATGACTTCCAGCTTTGGGCATCTCCTTCCTTTCTCTTATCCTGGTCTTCCTCACTCATTTCGCTTCACACCTGTGTATGATTAACTCAGCATTTCAGGCTCCATAAACGAGGGCTCCTCGATTGTGCCCCATTCCTCCGGATTGATTAGGTCTTTCCTTGTCTCTATTTTTTGTGCATAGGTTTTTAGTACAGTACTTTTCTGGCTCTATTACCATTGCTAACTTGTCATTAGTCACCTCACTATAAGGTGAGCTCCTGCTGATTAGAAAGGAGGTCACATTTCCTTCTGGAACCCTTTGTTATGCTTAGCAGGTAACAGAAGCTTAAATGCGTATCGAAAAAAAGAATTATATGTTTTCACTGAGGCATGTTACTATTCTCAAAATTAATAATATTTCTAACTCCCTGCATTGTCACCGAATGGTTTTTAAACTTTTGGCATGTTTAAGAGCCCAATTTATGTAGCATGTTTTAGCTATAACTTTCTGTGTATAAAACTCAGTTTTAAAATTATGTGCTTGAAAATTATTCTATATATTTGAAAAAACTGAAATTATGGACTCAGGAAATGTTAACTAGTACAGTGATTTTTTTATATTAATAGAAGTTAACTGGATAACTTTTCTTTATTTGGAAGGAAATTGCATGCTGAGAAGTAAAGAGCTTTTTTCTTGTGCTTAATTTACTGTTTCTATTTCAGGCTTAAGGTAAAGGGAAAGGATAAGAAAAGAAATTTATTTAAACTGGATAAGCAATCTGCAGATCAGTAAGAAATAACCTACTTATCCTTTGAAGATTCCCTTTTTTTTTCCATTTTCCCCATAAAAAGGTGTAAGGGTGAAAAACTCTACTTCTATCTTCTTAGGGCTGTGGCTGGGTCCGAGAATTAAATCGGCATAACATAGATTCCCAGGAGAAAAGCATAATACAAGTTTTACATGGCATGAGAGCCATCATGAGGAAATAAAGACTCAAAGAAAGCACTTGGACACAGTTACTACCTGCTGGATTGGAAGAAGAATAGTAGGTTGTGTGGAAACAACTAAATTATATGGGAAGGCTTAAAAGGCAAGAGTTATTTCAGTAATGTCTGTACAGAATTCTCTTGGTTTTGACTTCTCATCCTGGATGATAAAGATGTTGCATCTTTCAAGTATAGGAAGGAGGTCTTTCACGTGGGAATTTCATCCTCTGCTTTTAAGAAACAACACAAAGGTCAAAGTGATTTTTTTTGCACCTGCTGTTTTTCAAGTGTCTTTACCTTAGTCAATATGCCAGGATAGCATAGTTTAAACCCTTCAAAGGGTAAAAAAAAAAAAAAAGCATTGACATTGCACAAATTATGCTAATTAATGTTTAATGAATGATTGACCAAATGCCAGATGTGAATTTACTGTGACCAAAACCAAGGAAATATCTTTCAATGATTTTCAATGCCAATGTCTTTTGGGAATTGTTGTGCAGATAAGTTGTTATACTATTTCTAGTTTTCATAATCAGGCATTTATCTTCTGCTTCTATAGTTAGACGAGAAGTAAGAATCTTTGGATTTGTAATCAATGAACCAAAAATCACGTCTCATGGAAGTATAACATTGTATACCTCAAAACTGCTGGAAACCCAAAGATAATTTAAATCTACTATACCATTTTGACTGCTATAAAGAAATATTTCTATGGTGTAATGAAACTTGTCTATTTGCATCATTTCCTTTCTTATTGTTTTATCTCCATCAATTGCTACTCTCACTCTTATTTCCAGACTGATTCTACCAAGATGTCACAACTAAAATTTTCATTCTTAAGTGTTGAAACTTCTAGTTATTTCCTTCCATACTTCTTTTCTTTTCCTCTTATTCTTTACCCCCAGTTAATTAGATTTGCTTCATCCATGTATCTTGCATGAATGATATCATTTTAGTAGAAACTAAGTATTAGCTTGAAATTCATGGATGAGTTGCATGCACGCAACCCAGAGTCCAGAACCAGAATTTGACCATTTGAATCTAAACCCTTGAGAATTTTCATAAGTCTAAGCAAAGATTCTTATTTAAACATGGACATAGAATAGGGTTCAAGTTTATCTTAATAGATTTCATGGGACAAGGAAACTCCTGGTTACACCTATTAGCACATATACAGTAGATTTAAAATAGTTAAACAATGAAATATTGTTAATACCGAATTTAGCAAAGGAATGGCTTTGGAACTCATTTTCTGCTGAGATAGCAAAGATGTACTAAATATGATAAAGGACATTATTATCAATAGTTGTATTCAGGGCCACACTCAGCCTAGAAGATTTCATTTTCCACATAAGTTAGGGTTGCTCATGAAACTCCTACTGCAGCTACACCAGAAGGCACCCTTGTGTCAAAAAAAAATGAATACAGAGTTTGTCAATTGTGTGTACATATCTGATAGACCCTTACTGCCAGAATTTCCTTTCTGGTATGCGTGTTTGTGTCAATAATTTATTAAAGGAATAGAGCAATGGAAGTTGGATTAATAAAATCTGTTGGATTTAATTGGATTAAAAAATTATTGCAGTCTTAAGATTAAACCTAGAATAATTAGAGGGAGAAAAAAATTAAAAAAAAAGAATTGGTCATTTATCAAGTACCTAGTCTGTACCAGGCCCTGCACAAGGGGTCTCAAGTCCTCATACAGCTCAGAAAGGTAGATGGTCCCATTTTGCATTGAGGAACCTGAGATCAGAGGAACTATGTCTTTCCCAAGAACACAGAACCAGGATTCAAACTCAGATCCATCTGGCTAAATTGTTTTCTCCATTGCTGAGAAATATTGAAATTTTCTCATCAAATTCCGATAAAAAGAAATGGGCAGTCTGACACGTTTCAGCATAGGATATAGTCTACATACATCCTACGTAGAATATAAATCATCATGAAATGCAGAAAGAGAAGATGAACGAACAAAAGGATCTTTATAGAACTATTAATCAGTTGGGTTAAGGTGTCTTTGATAGCTAAGTAAGAAGGTAGAGATAATTAACAAAAACTTCATTGTGACAATACCTGCATATTATTTGAATTTGTTGTAAACCACTTATTCTATTTATTCAGTTATAATCTCTTCATTTCATAGTGTCTCATCAACTGTTATCAACCTTCTTTTGTTGACGTTAGGAGATATTGTTGAATTTGTGGGCCAAACCCACATTTATAATTTGTAAAACTCTATAAAATCTGGAACTTGCAAACTGGTGTACATTTGGGCAGACCAGGCAAGCCGTGCCTTTTTCTGAATGATATCTGAATCGGATCTGTCTAGACTTAGTTTCACTGTACCTTAAATTTACAGATGTCAGAAAAACCTTATTAAGAAATCTACTAATGGCTATAAAAGAATTTACTTTATGTTAATATCTAATCACATTATAATTATAGACAGAGTTTAGTTAAACTGGATAATAAAAATGAATCCAGGCAGTATGTAAACATAATTTTATACTTAAATTCTAAAAAATTAAGAGTACAGTTTCTAGAATTCGAAGATATACTCTATTAAATTTTCCATACCATTCCTTTTTCCAAACAAGCATTTTAAATAGCTATATGGTTCTCCTTATGCAAACTTATTTTGATTCTCATGCATTTATCAGCATTCCCACTCTCGTACAACTCCAATATTTTTCCATCCTCTCTTCAAAGAATCACTCAGTAATTTTTTTCCTATGACATAGACTTTCTGTCTTTGTGCCTTTGTTATCTTGTTCTATTCTGCAACCCGCAAACATTGGATGAGCAAGTGTAACGCTAGATTAGCTTTCTACCACAAAGCTAGCTTCAGAGTCTTCACCAAAAGAAGATACTATTACCACACAGTTTGGGAAGGCAGATATTTCCCAATCAAAGCAGACCTGTCACGTGTAGGTTTTAATGTCACCAAAAAAGCTCAAATCTCCAATGACACAGAGTCTGCCTTCCTTCCAGGCAGGGTTTCAGTGATTGACCTTGTGCCCACAGCACTCCCCCCCTTGGCAGAAGCTAGCACAAAGCCACCTTTGTCTTCCTCTTGAACAGGATTCGGGACAACAGCCCTTCTTTCCCTGCTTGCAGGTCTTCCAAGCTATGACAGGAAGAAGCAAAGCATATTTCTGCGATGCCCACATTCTGCTTCTGAAGTCCAGCTTCCATCTCCTACCAGGAGTCTGTAAAGAAACAGTCTTTCCATTGATTATACTTATGTGGTTTTCCTGCTGTTATTTTCTGGTAAGTACCCCATCCAGGGAAGGTGCACTATTCTGTCTCAGAAGAAAGGCCCATTCGGGAAACAGCCACAAACACAAATTAACATGTTTCCACAAGTTAGGAGAAGAAAAATATCAATGCTTTTTTTTTTTTTTCCTCTGTGTTTTACATAAGCAAATGTCCTGTGTAGTGTGTCTGTCTTTCTTGCAAAAACAACAAATATTTGTTGAGCCCCCACAAGCACACATGAATGGGCGATGATGAGGCTGAAACCCCAAGCTTCGTACCTGGAAGGCACGCATGGTATCAGTGCATTCTGTCCCTTACGGATCGTTGCTTCGTGCTTGTGTTCAACTCGTGTTTCCTCGCTTATTCCTGCTCTACCGGGCTTTATGTCTTCTGTCCTTCCCACTTATTTGGCAAAAACTGCCAAATGCTATGTACCTCCCCCTTTGTCATTTTCCAAATTCCTGCTTGCTGTATATTTAATTTACATTGTTTACCATGCAGTACAATCCTTTTGAACTTCTCTTTCTAATTCTGAAGCCATTTTTTTTTTACAATCTGTTTCTCTCCTGTGTTCATGTTTTTTGTAGTCTTTCAAGACTTCTAATTTTAAAAGGTTTTATCCTATGCTTAGTCACTTTCATCTTTTATTTCCCTCTTTTTTTTTTTTTTTTTCATTCTTCCTTTTGGATTTACATTCCTAGGCTGTGATCCTGATGGGCTCCTGCCTGTTATAAAACACAGCACGGGAATCTCCTGGGGAATAGCTTGTCAGAACTTTCTAGTTGGCGATCCATTACTGTGCTTGGCAGGTGGTGTGTGGCTGATCACTGCTTGAGCAGAAATGTATGCAGCTGATAATGTGGCCACATCAGAGTAACCTAAACAAACGATTCTAGATGATAGAGCAGCCATGGAGAAGAAAAGATAAAATTATGTGAACACCAAGCAAAATTACCAGTGAAATCACATGAAATTATGGTAAGGTGTCCAATGACAGGTCAAAATATCCATGTTTCTATTTTTCTGGGACTTATATTTTCCTGTGCTACGAAATAATTTGGTGCATATATGTCAAATAGCATATAGTATAGCATATAGCATCCACCTGTTTAAGTTTATTTTTCTAAATATTTTCTAACTCAGAATTTTGTGTTCTCATTCTCCATTCTCTCCCAACGTTCACTATCACAGATCTAGATATCTCCACACAAGAACAGTCAGTAGAAAAGAAAACATATGGCATTACGGTAATTGGAGTAGGAAGCGATAAAAACTACTAAGATTCTGATGATTCCTTGTCTTTCATTTAAGGAAACCAACTCCCCACAGTATAATGGTAGGATGATCTATATTGGGGCCTTAGTAAAGCCAGAAACTGTTTTGTTTTTTTTTTAATATATACACTGAATGAAGAAGAATAAAGAATTTAATCTTGGAAAAATAGCAGAGCAGCTATATGAAAAGGGAAGTCCTCTTTTAAATGATTTGTTGCCCTATAAAACCGGCCATTGTAATTAATCACAGAAATGTTTGATTAAAAGATAACCAAATGGAAAATAACAGGTGTTGGTGGAGATGTGGAGAAATTGGATCCCTGGTACATTGCTGGGGGAAATGCAAAATGGGGCAGCTACTGTGATAACCAGTTTGGCAGTGCCTCAAAAAAACTAAAAATAGAATCGAGACTGGGCAGTGGCACGTGCTTATAGTCCCAGCTACTCAGGAGGTGGAGGTGGAAGGATTACTTAAGCCCTGGAGTTAAAGACTATTCTCCGTAACATGGGGAAACCCTGTCTCAGAAAAAAAAAAAAAAAATGAATTGTCCTGTGACCCAGCAATTTCATTACTAGGTATGGCCCTTAAAAAATTGAAAACAGGTATTTAAGTAAATACTTGCACATGAATGGTTATACCAGCATTCTTAACAATAGCAGAAGATGAAAAAAAAAAAAAAAGCCCAAATATCCATCAATAGATGAATGGATGAACACATTGTGGTATATACATATGACTGAATGTTATTCAGTAACCAAAAGTAATGAAGTACTGACATATGTTGTAACATGGGTGAACCTCAAAATATTATGCTACGTAAAATAAATCAGATGTAAAAATCCATGTATTATATGATTCCATTGATATGAAATATCCAGAATAGATAAATCCATGGAGTCAAAAAACAAATTGGTGGTTGCCAGGGCCTAGAAAAGAGGGGTATGGGGAGTAACTGTCTAATGAGTATTCTTTTTGGGGAAGATGATAAAAATGTTTTAGAATTGGGTGTATACATAGGGATTGCACAACATTGTGAATGTATTAAATGTTACTGAATCTTTCACTTTAAAATGATTAATTTTATGTTATGTGGATTTCATGTTAATATAAAAAGAGAACAAAATAAGTCTTTTTAATTGAGAACCAAAATAAAGGTAAAATCTTTTTCCCCGACAATGTATGGAAACACATATTTTCGTAAAATTGTATCAATCATTTCATGTTTGAATGAATGAATGAATTATAGTTTTATAATTTACCTGAAATTTTATTCATTATTTATTCATTTAACAAATATTTATAGAGAGCTTAGTATGTTCCAGTCAAATCTTAACATCACTTAGATTCTAAGTGAAAATTTAGCATTTTACTTAAGAATTTTCTTTTTAAGATAATTAAAAAATTATTTTTTAAAGCAATGCTTAATTAGCTTTATGTGTAAGAAGAAATAATATCGTATCTATTTAAAATCTATTTTCATGGAGTCATAGATTTAAAGGGAAATTGTCAAGGAATAATTAACTTTCAAAATGAATAAAATTGAAACTGGAATCCAGTTCACCAAATCTCCCTCCCTCCTTCTCTTTTTTCTTTAATTCTTTTTTATTTTAAGATGACTAAATTAGATATATGACAGTATTTTCAAATGATAGCTAAGAAGTTTAAAATATTATTTTTATTGATATATACATTATATGTGGACATAGCTGTGTGGTATGTTCAAGATGTTCCATTTTTTCCATTCTTAGAATGACCAGTGATTTTCTAATTTATTTTAGAGAAGCCTGTTTTTAAGTTTAATCTCATGTAGAACCCCAGTATACAAAACAGATAAAAATGGAGCTGATCTATTTGAAGCTACCTCTGCTTTACCCTTCCCCAAGTGGCTTCTGTCCTTGAGACACAGTTTGAAAACCACTACTTTAGCCAGTTCAATATATTTAATGACATTTCTTATTTTCTCTATTTCTGTATAATTTGTTGGGCCTGATACTACAAGAAAGGAACAAATTGCTCATTTTCAGAGATACGTGAACTCAGGGATTCCACCAGAATACATTTAGTAAATTACTTCTACTAGTGAAGTAAATTGTGCTTTAGTGGCCTGAAAGAGATCATGAAATTAAGAAGCCAAAGAAAATCTATATCTCATTCAATTCTGTCCGTTAGGTTCTGGGCATTTGGTACAGTTTGAGTCTTTTAAGTTTGCTTCTGGATTTTTTTTTGTTTGTTTGTTTATTTTTTAAATTCCCAAGAGGATAGGTCAGAGAGCACATTCTTGATCCCTCTTTCTATTTCTCCAGCCTTCTTCACTATTCACCTCACAAGTCATCTTCCAGCTGTATCTTCATCTAAGCCCATGTGACTTCAAAACTCATCTTGGGGAAATAAATAACCAGGCAAACTCAGTTAATTACAGTAGAAAAAGGCAGAGTCTGCATTCACGTAACCAATTGCAGGCACCAGGAAGAATTCATTCTAGCGAGATGCATTTCCACAGGGGCTGGAGGAAGACAAGAATTGAATTTATTGAAGCACCTCGGGTGATAATGTATTAAGGTGTCCTACCAAGACAATTATGTACTAATAAGGCATTCACAAGCTGGCCGACGTTTACTCTTTCCACGGAGCCCCAACACAATCTTCTGCAAGACTCAAAGACGGCTAATCTTTCCAAAACTTATTAGAGCCCCAGAAAGTACAACTGACATTACCTGCTCCTACTCTCATCCCTCCCTTGTTTTCACTGAGTACGCAAATTAATGGAAAAAAAAATAAACCCAACACTTAAGCATATTCAGTACCCACTGGATAAAGAGAAAGTTCTAGAAACTTCCAGAGAGGGGGGGGAAAGGGAAGGGTACTAACAAAAGGTGGGTCAAAATCATTGGTCAGGAAGGTTTTTCTAAGGAGGTAAATGTGGGTTGAAACCAAAATAAAAAGTCATGCATAGCATAGCTGGCAGTGGGTTTGGATAGTGTTCCATGCAGAGAAAAAGAACAACCTAAAGACCTTGAGGCAGGAGAAAATGAGGTTTTAGGGAAACTGAGGAAAGACCTGAGTGTTTATAGTGGGGTGTGATGGAGTGTTTGAGATGTGTCTGAAGAAACACATCATGCATGGAACTTAATCATGCATGGATTTCACTTATAAAAAAAATAGAAGAAATTAGAGTGTTTAAGCAGGCAAGAAAACTTGTCTAAATATTAATATCAACCTGGCTTCCATGTGGGGAATGGATTGGGAATAGGCAAGACCAGAAGTAAGAGACCATGTAGGAGGTGGCCCAGTCTAGCGACAGTGGTAGCAATAGCGATAGCAAGAAGTGGTTAAACACAAAATATATTTGACACAAAATATACAAAATTAGGCGATGGATTTAGCATGGTGGCTGATGGAAAAAGTAGTATTAAAGATAATTCTCAGATTACTGGTTGGGGCAACCTGGTAGATGGTGGCATCATTAGTCTCCATAGGGAACCCTGGAGAAAGGACAGAGGGAAGTGTGCAAGGAGAAAGGTAGATTTTTTTCACACAATTTAAATTTCAGGTGCCATTAGGAATTCAAGGGGAGCTATGAATCTCACAGTTGGATTTGTAAGCCTGAAGTTCAGATATTTAAGTCAGGGAGCTGTCAGCATTCAGAAGTCATTTAAAGCTATGGGGATAGGTAAATGCACCTAGACTGAGTGGGTAAAAATAGAAGACTACTCATGTTCAAGCTCTGGGTAATTCTGAAAATTAGAGGTCCGAGGAAGAAGAGGATCAGAACATGTGACTGCAAGGCTGCCGATAGTGACATAGGGTGACAGGCAAGAGAACATGGTACTATGGAAGTCCAATATCCAAAAAAGGATATTGTTTCATGAGGGAGGGAGGGAGGGAATCAATTATGTCCCATGCTGCTGGGGAGTGAGGTTAAGAAGAGAAGAAAAATGGTCCCTTGTCTTTGAGACTATGGAGGACATCAGCGATCTTGAGAAAAATTGTTTTATCGGAATGGTCGCTGCCACAGCCAGAGCTGACCAGATTGGAGAGTGAGAGGGAGGTGAAGAATTTAAGGCAACAATGGAAAACAGAGAAAGGGTCAATTCCTAAGAAGTATTTGTTGAAAGAATTGGATTTTCAAGCACCCCCCTCATCTGTCAGTAGATGGAAATGCCGGGCAGGTCACAGGACAAGCTGTGGGGAAGGGAATGATGATGGTCAGGAAGTGCCATATCAGAGAGGGCTGTAGTCTCAGTGTCATAAATTAGACATTAAGTCAGTTACAGACTAGTGACAAATGACTGCCATTTTATTTTTCAGGTAAAAAGCATTCACATAGAGTAAAAAAAATCAGAGCCAATCTCTCCACCAACTACAGTCACGAATGTCAAGAAGCCCAGAGCTTTCAACACCCAGTTGTCCTTTAGAATTTTATAGTAAGATCAAGTTATTCCAAGTGCCTATTGATTTTTACGTCTTTAACTTGTTTTGTCACCCGTACAATTTTAAAGCTGGAAGGGTCCCGTATTAGCTTTTTATGGCTGCTGTTACAAATTATCCCAAACTTGGTGACTTTAAATAACAGAAATTTATTCTCGCAGTTCTGGAGTTTGGAATGTTGAATGCAGTATCGCTGGGCCAAAATCAAGGTGTCAACAAGGGCCACAATCCCTCTGGAGGCTATGGGAAAGAATCTTGTTTCTCGCCTCTTCTAGCTCCTGTTGGCATTTCTTGGCATGTGGCTGCAGCACTCCATGGTCACATTGCCTTCCTCTCTCCTGTATCAAATATCCCTCTGCCTCCCTCTTATAAGAAAACATTTGTGGCCGGGCGTGGTGGCTCACACCTGTAATCCTAGCACTCTGGGAGGCCGAGGCAGGCGGATTACTTGAGGTCAGAAGTTCGAAACCAGCCTGAGCAAGAGCGAGACCGTGTCTCTACTATAAATAGAAAGAAATTAATTGGCCAACTAATATATATATAGAAAAAATTAGCTGGGCATGGTGGCGCATGCCTGTAGTCCCAGCTACTCGGGAGGCTGAGGCAGAAGGATTGCTGGAGCCCAGGAGTTTGAGGTTGCTGTGAGCTAGGCTGACGCCACAGCATTCACTCTAGCCTGGGCAACAAAGTGAGACTCTGTCTCAAAAAAAAAACCAAAAAAATAAAGAAAAGAAAACATTTGTGATTGCATTTAAAGGCCCACCCGAATAATCCAGGTCAATCTCTCATCTCAAAATATTTAACTTAATCCTATCTGTGAAGTCCTTTTTTGCCATGTAAGGTAACTTTCACAGTTTCCACATGTTGGGACTGGGATCTTTTGAGGAGCATTATTTGGCCAACCTCAAGTCCTTGGAAAACACTTAGCATGATCCTTTGCCATTTTTGGTGAGAAAAAACGATGCACAGTTGAAGTTACCTATCCAGGTGCATACGTAATCACAGGCAGGGCTGACGTCAACTGCCAGTCTCCTTGCTACAATAAACTCATGTTCAATTAGAAGCAGGATGACACTTTTTCTGTTTTCTGAAACTGGTGTTGCCCTGGCAAGCTATAGAGATTTTTGACTCACAGAGACTTAGCATCAAAAATTCAAAACAAAATCATAAATGATGTGATTTTATTTCGACGATAATCCTGGAAATTCTTTCTAACAAATACATACAAACAATTTCTCATGTATAGTGATAATTCATTATTTAATATGTTTTATTGGATTATAGAGTTTAGTTCTTCAATTAATGTTCCTCGATGGGTTGGTGGATAATTTTCCTGAGGGTTCTGGGGAATTTTCTTCACTTGAAGAAAGTGTTCCAAAAACACTGGGATATCTGCATTCTAGGGCATTGGTGATTCAGAAATTCAAACATTTTCTCCCTCCAATACCTAGATGGATGGAATTAAGTGTGGCCTATTGAGGGGACAGGGAAAGCCAGCAGGGTTTTTATATGCTTCCCAAACCATTTTACAGCCAGATCAGCACGCACTTTTCCCTTTTATTTATTTACACTTCACACATAAAGCTTTCCTGACCAAAGGGGTGGGGGGTAATAAAAATGTCTTAGATGATCAAAGAAAACCAGAGTAGATGTTGATATGGTCAAATCATTGTTGTTGCTGCAAACATTCCAAGGGTCACATCAGTCTCATGTGAAAAATCATAAAATATAGGCGAATAAACATTCAAATTCAACCTGATTATTCCATAGTCACTCAAACTTGTCATGGAGAGGAATAAAGAGATAATATGAGAATACCTTGAAAATAACTGGTACATGCTTAATACTGTTTGGAGCTCTCATATGTGAATCCCTTTCAAAACTTTTCCAAACATTAATACATTCAGTCCCACCACACCTTGTCTGAAAGATGAGCTTTGACAAATATCATGTTCTGATTCTAACTTCTGCACTCAGGAAAATTCCTAATTCCATTCCCCTGCATCCTTACTTACCTTTAATCACTTCATTTTTAGCAATTCAGTGGTATGTACTCATATGTCATTGTTGTGTACTTTTTAATTAATATATGTTAATTGTTTGGATATCCTCTTTCGTCAAATTTCTATAGAAAACTTAATGCTTATTTTTCTGTTAAGCTATATTTTTCCTTATTGATTTGTAGGAGTGCTTTTTATGTTCTAAATATAAATCTTTTGTTGGATATATGGACTCTATTGAGAATATCGCTTCCACTCTGGAGGTTGCCTTTTCACTTGCTTTATGTTATTTTTCTTTTACATTGACCAGTTATTAGTTTTAATATCAAGTTTTTCTATTATAATAGGGCATACACAATTATGTTGAATACTTGATTTTCAAGATCAACCAGCTGTATGAATTTCAATAACTATTTTAAAACATCTGGTTTGGACAGGCGCAGTGACTTGTGCCTGGTTTATTAAGTAACATTAATAATGAATCTTCAGGTGCAGAAATCAATTAGAATTCATTCACAATTATTTTAATGAGAGTTATGTGTTAGTGTAGCATAATAAGTAAAGGTGGATTTGGCATTAGACATGGTTCTTACCTTCCTTCTGACATCTAGTTCAGATTAGTGGATAATCTAACTTTTATGAGTCTTTGAATAAACTCATCTATAAAATAAGTGTAATAATGCTTACCTGGCAGGCTCTTAAATTGTTATTGTATATAAGATGCCTTAATGTTATTCTCGGATGTTACTTTTTTAAGCATGTAAAAAGAGCACCAACATATTTTCAACCTGAGGATCCAGTGAAGTTTCTTGTGACCAAATATGTGAATTGAAATATCCCTATAGCTCTGGAATAAATACAACTCCTATGAAAGAAAGAATTATGAAACTCCATTCAGATGATGGATGGATGCTCACCATTTTACCTTACAAATGACACTCAGGTACTTAATCAATTTTTAAATTGCTTTTTGAGAGATGAAAAATAAACTCATATATCATCAACATAACAATGTCAGCTGAAACTGTGCTACAGAATGATGGTCTTGGAAAGAGAAATATAACTGAGATTCAAGAATACCAGAGCTACTTTTATTCAAAACTTAGATTTCATGGGCCTTAATGGCAAATGGGAAAATGCTTGGCAACCTTAACAATAAGGTACTACATATACTGCGTGAGCAAAGAATAAGCTCTATTTATGGCAATAATATATGTTGTGTAAGCATGTAAGGGCCCATGACAAAGTATGTCAAAAACAATAGACAGGCCCAACAATGAGGATGTTGACAGCATGCTATTATCAACATATATGAGCAAATGATTGGTACGATTCTCTGAAAGAGGCAGACATCATGCTGTGGTCAGATCAAAACACAGGTAGAAATTTGTCATTAAGGTTGTGAGGTTCGAGGAAATTGTGGAAGAGTGTTGCTAGCACTTTTTAAAATGCTCTTGGGCAGACAAGGCAAATTACTTTGATAAGCAAGTGGTGTTATTACATTTCACATAAGCTATCCATGAAGAATGATCTTTGCAATCTACTTTTTTTTTTAAATGTACAGTTAGTATTTTCCAAATATAGACAAGTACTTATGAAATTTACATGCAGACATTAATGTCTTATGCCATCTATTGCAAGGGAGTTCCCCTTGCTGTGAAAACTTATATACAGATAAGACATTGATGATAGAGACATAGACGTAATGCAATGCCCAAGTTATTTTACTCAAGTATATGCATGTTATACACAAGTATGAGTTTGTTAGGGCTGCTGTAACAAAATACCAAGAAGTTCAAGGTCAAGATGTCAACGGGTTTGGTTTCTTCTGAGGCTTCTCTCCTGGGCTGCAGACGGCCACCTTCTCAGTGTCCTCACCTGTGTGGTCTTTCTTCTGCCCTTCTTACTGGAAGGGTTCCAGTCATATTGGATTAAGGTCTACCCTAAAGATCTCAATTTTAACTGAATCATCTCTTTAAAAACTTTAAATATAGTCACCTTCTGAGGTCCTAAGTGTTAGCACTCCCACATATAAATTTTGGTTGGCAGGAGCACTATTCAGCCTATAATAATCCAGTTTGTGTTATTTTTATGTTATGTGTATAATCATAGAAATGAGTTTTGCTACAGTTGCTGTGTTTTACCATTGGTTAAGTTCAGTGATTCCTTTATGTTTATAGAATGCCTTAACTAATGTGAAAGGGCTCTAGACTCATTATAGACATCAGTTGCTACAGAAGTACAGAAGGAAGCCTGCAATCCTATTTCAAAGGATCCTTGGATGACACTTCCTGGGAAACTGGAAGAGTGGATGGGGTGGACTTCGGCAATCCCAGACAATCGGTTGACTGACACCTGTGACAATTCCTGTTAGACATAAGCATCTCGGCATCCTCCCACGTGACATATGGTCGGCCCTTGGGGCACAGCACGTCCTTCTGGGCGTGACACTCTAACAGGGGCATTGACAACAAGCAGCAAGACCCTAGGAATCGTTTTCTATGTGACTTTGAATCACAGAACTAAGCTAACTTTTGAGAATAACAGAGAAACAAATTTTAGCTCAATATTGGGAACAGCGTATGTGCCTCAAGATAGAACGGGCTTCTCATTATGTAATAACCATCCGTCCAAGAAAGTATTCAGGAACGGAATAGGACCCAGATCAACCTTTCCCAGGAAATAACTTCTTTTTCTATTCCTACTGTTATCGTAACCGGATCATTTGTACATTATGTAAGTCCTGAGTACAGTTATGCATTCATTGTGTCCTACCAGAGAAAAGAAAGCTGCAGAGAAGTGAAATGCTGGCCGCCCTTTTAATATCTGATGACATCCAGAGTTTCTGGAAGGTCAAAGACTATGAAATGCAACATGATAATTCCTATCTTATTCTCCTACAGCTTATCACTATTTTAAGAATTTGAAAATATAAAATTAATTTAATAATTTAAAAAATTAACAGGAGAATTTCTTTTTAGTGAATATTTTTTGTAGAAGTATAGTCTCCTCAATATCAAAGCAATTATACACTAATACTTTCTTTTTCCTCCCCCAGAGAATTAACTGTGCAGTCTGTCGTGTGGCTTAAGATTTATGATAGCTTACAATAACATAGAAAAGAATTTTTCTGAATAATTTTTAAAAAATGTTGACTTTTGCTGGATGTATATCCATCCACTCTTTATGTTTTTTTTTTTTGTTTTTTTTTTGAGACAGAGTCTCACTTTGTTGCCCAGGCTAGAGTGAGTGCCGTGGCGTCAGCCTCGCTCACAGCAACCTCAAACTCCTGAGCTCAAGTGATCCTCCTGCCTCAGCCTCCCCAGTAGCTGGGACAACAGGCACGTGCCACCATGCCCGGCTAATATTTTTTTCTATATATTTTTAGTTTTCCAATTAATTTCTTTCTATTTTTAGTAGAGACGGGGGTCTCACTCTTGCTCAGAACTGGTCTCTAACTCCCGATCTCAAGAGATCTGCCCGCCTCGGCCTCCCAGAGTGCTAGGATTATAGGCGTGAGCCACCGCGCCTGCCTCCATGCACTCTTTAGATTGTCTCTTAATTTGTGAAGATTCCAATGACTAGGTCAAATTAACTGAAGATATTTTTTATTTTCAAGGATCTCGAAAGGCTTGGGAGAACCACTGTTCTTTCTTGGAGAGCGAGAAGGAAGAAGATGGGGAAAAAGTGATGAGAGGAGCAACTGAATCACATTTCCCAATGTATTGTGTATCCTGTGAAGGACTGTAAGTTCAGGAGTTAGAGTTAGGTTGGAGGGGACCAGTCTTAGAAGAAGGAGAATTGGATTTGACACTTATGTTTGTGGCCTGAGGTTTGAACTGCTGCACCTAACACATAATTTGATCCTTCTTTCATATCATATGTTAAGTTTAATCTTCTTTCCAATATTTTGTCATGGCAAAGTGAACAGATAGTATGTCATGAAAACAATAAAAATATTATCATTGCGATTGCCCTCAAAATCAGAAATTTTACATAATAAAATATGCTTAATATTTTAATATTTTAAATCTATCAACATTCTTGTTATAGTTCATGTTGAATGCTTTCAATTTTAAATGGAACAAAATATTTATTTGATTTAGATGATAACCTCAAGGTGAATGGAATTCTGAATTTCAGAAAATAATTTCATATCACATCTCCCTTTCTCTATGCTCTCGTTTTAAGTACGAGTTTTTCCCCAAACACATATTGTTTAACTAGAAGTGAATAACACATTTGCATTTCAGAAGTAGATATGAAATCCAGAGTGCAAAACCATTACTTCCCCGTTGTTTTTCAGTACTTCAACTTTTCAGAGATATATGTTATCTATGTATTTGTGTCTGTGTATGTGTATGAGAAGAGACAGTATCTTTTGTGTTTTTATCAATTCTTATCTTGCTTTTCTTCTGTTTTGCCAAATCACAATCCAACCACACCATTAGTCAGTCTCAGCCTAGTTCTAGACCCACCTTACTCCCCGAATCACATTCATTGCCAATGGGCGTTGGGGCCGTTTTATTATGAAGTGCTTATTCTTTCATCTTCACTGCAGAAGTGCTGGAAGTAGCAAGAGAACCAGAATCAGAAGCAGAGCCTAAAGATGTGACTGAATTGCTGCAATCTCACGATAAATCTTGAACAAATGAGGACTTGTTTCTTAGAGAGGAGCAAAGGAAGTGGTTTCTTGAGAAGGAAACTACTCCTGGTGAAGATGCTGTGAAAATCGTTGAAATGACAACAAAATATTTAGACTATGACATAAACTGAGTTGAGACAGCAGCAGCAGGGGTTGAGAGGATTGACTCCAATTTTGAAAGACGTTCTACTGTGGGTAAAATGCTATTAGACAGCATCACGTACTACAGAGAAATCTTTTCTTAAAGGAAGAGTCAACTGATGCAACAAACTTCATTGTTTTCTCATTTTAAGGAATCACCTGAACAACCACCACCCTCATCAGCACTCACCAATATCCAAGCCAGACTTCTTTCCACCAGCAAAAAGATTACAAATGGCCGAAGGCTCAGATGATTGTTAGCATTGTTTAGCAATAAAGTTTTTTTTTTTTTTTTTTTTTTTGTAAGAGACAAGGTTTCACTCTGTCACTCAGGCTGGAGTGCAGTGGCACCATCATAGCTCACTGTAACCTTGAAAACCTGGGCTTGAGCGATCCTCCTGTCTCCGCCTCCCAAGGACCTGGGACTACAAGTGCAGGTTACCACGCCTGGCTAATTTTTTTTTTATTTTGGGTAGAGACAGGGTCTCATTATCTTGCCAAGGCTGGTCTTGTACTCCTGGCCTCAAGCAATCCTCCTACCTCAGCCTCCCAAAGTGCTGGGATTACAGGTGTGAGTCACTGTGCTCAGCCCAATAACATATTTTTAATTACAGTAGGTACATTGTTTTTTTGGACATAATGCTATTGCATGCTTAATAATCTACAGTATAGTGTAAACATAACTTTTATATGCACTGGGAAACCAAAAAAATTCTATGACTCACTTTATTGCAATATTCACTTTATAGTGGTGGTCCAGATCTGAATCTATAATATCTCTGAGTGCACCTGTACAATAATTTTTTAAAATTATTGCTAATTTTACAGAAGATGAAACGGGCCTGGAGAGATTAAGTAGCTAACTAACCACACGACAGGTAAGTGGAAGAGGCAGGTTTTGAGCTAAGCAATCTTTGTCCTAACCGCTATGCATTCTACCTGTTTTTTAAAAAAACTTTCAGTTGATTATTCCTATTCTGCTTTTTATTTTGTGTCTTTTCCATTATGCTAGAGTGAGAGAAGAATATTTCTAATTGAACATTTAAAAATTCTTACTTTAGAGAAATCCATAGAGAGATTTTAGTGAAGTATTTTATTACTACTAAGCCAAGCAATTTTTGACAATATGGTTTCCTTAATTTTCATTTAATTTTGATGCATTAGAACAGTTTGTGATGTTCAATAGCTCTAACTCCTACATGTTCTATGTGATCTGTTATATTGACATTTATGGTTATTATAATACCTAAAGAATCTATGAATATTATAGTAAAACTGATTCCAGAATGCCAATAAGCAGGCTAAAAATGGATTTAATATTTTTTATTTATGTGATAAACCCTCTTTTTACTTTGGCAATGATTTTTTTTATACCCTTTTGTAGTTAAGCCTTTTTTTTTACTCCCCTGCAAGCTTTGTGTCATTATGATAGAAAGAAAAGTGAAAAATTAATATAGTGTCTGATGTCCAACAAATAATTTTCTGTTATATTTTCTTGTTCATATGCCTTTATTTCCTATGCCAGCTTTTTGCCTCAAAGACTGATGTATGACCTCAGACTGAAGGGACATTTCATTTCAAAAGTATGCAGTTGAACGTGCAAGACTTTTTATCTATGCATAGATGATGTCTATGAAAGTTTATGTTAGTGACATGGTGTCTCTTGATTTATTCATTTTCATAAGCTGTTTACCAATTCTGTTCATCTTGTGGCTTTTCCTTTTCTTTGCTAAAACTTGAATCCAACAACGAGCAGTTATGTAGAGCTTGTCATTTGTCTCCTGTCTTTTCCTGTGCATTCTCCTTTATTATTCACAATCTTCTTTCTAGTCTAATAACAATGCTAGCCAATCATTTTTGAGTATTTGCTAAGTGCCGGGTGATGTGTTTAATGTTTTACATGCATTGTCTCATTGAATCTGCATCAGAACCTTCATAGGTGGGAACCATTTTTATGTCCATTTCACAGATGAAGAAAACGAGGCTGAGAAAAGTTAAGGTCAAATGGCTAATGACTGGAATTTGAATGCAGTCAGTCACGTCCCAATGATCTCCCACACTTACTAGCTTGCCTCTCACACCAAATAGGTATGATCTTTGGGTTTGACCAACTGACAACTAATTTCAAGCTTTGTTAAAAAGCGAAGACCTGATTATCTTGGGACCTAATCTGTGATGAGTGTCAGTGAAAAAATTCACTTTCAGATAAATAAAACACGAAATCAGAACTTTGAACAACATGCAAACATTCAGACTATAGTTTACACATGATTCTTATTGCCTTCTATTTGGAGTTGATTCACTTCTAGAGATTTAATTTAATTGTTATGGTGAATAGATAGGAGATTACAGCAAAACTACATTTATATGAAAGAATATTTTTATGAAAATTTAATTTTGCCCTAACAATTTCCACACACCTGTATGTATAAGTTATGCAGTTCTTTATAGCTTGTTTCAGTTTGAAGTCATTTTATTTACTTTCTCAGGTAACATGATATATTGGTGTAAGCCTAAAACATGTATGTCCTGGTGAATACTTCACTCAGACATTTATTTTTCAAATTAAGCACTCAGCAAAATAAACCCCACTAAATTGTCTACTATATATTGATTATTGGACTGGGCCTTATAGATATTGTGAAAAGCAAGAAAAACCAATGTTAAGTCCCTGTGAAATAGTGCTAATAAATATAACCAGCAAGTGGATATTACAGCTTTCTGATTATAGGAGTTTTTTTTTTTTTTCTGTAGTAGCTATGCTTGAATGTAGATACTAAATACCAGTGTTTCTTTGTAATGAAAAGCAACATATAGGAGTTCAGAAATCTTTTCTTTTTCAAATTTAAGTCGTTTGCAAAATAGGTTTGATT